AATAAAACTCAGAATCGGAAAAGAAAGGAAGAGAATTGAGAAATTAGTTAAAAGACCAAGCTTTCAATTGTGTGTGTTGATGTATGTTCGTGTTAGGTTGTGCAATGATGTCCTTTATAAGTGAGAGCATTTAAGGCCATATTTATAGTGGCCTTTAAGCCTTAGGGTTCCGATATATTCACATAGTACTAATGGAAGATGACGATTATCAGATGATGGAAGACAGAGGGGAAAATCATCGAAAGACTTACCTAAGCGACTTGAATCTCAGAATACATCGGCTAAGACTCTAAAACCCAGAGGTCACTGTGTTTGACCTCTAGTTATCGAATCCTCATGATGAAACTTAGAAAGAACTCCTTGCATGCTCCAATTTGATGGAGCATAAGAGAAATTGAACGACTTGATGTTTCATTCTTTAGCTAGGGTTTCGGATTTTGGGCGTTTTGAATTTAGATGATGAAATGGGAAAGAAACCGGTGGGATTCGCTGTTGGAGATGACAAAAGGGATGATTTGAGGTTGAATCAGTTGACCTTGCACAAATTTGTGCAAAGTTTTGAGATTGATGGGGTTAGGGCAGAGGAGAGGGTAGAGAGCAAAAGGAGAAAATGGACGGTTGTGTTGGGTGAAAATGATTTAGGGTTCGGGTAATTAGGAGGTTGGTCTCCAGGGTTAAGAGTGAGAGATGGAACGTGAGACGTTGGATCTTTTGATCAACGGCTCCGATTATTTGGAGATTTAAAATTAGGAAAAAAGTTTAATGAGAAAAAGTGGTGGCCGTTGGATTCTTGTAATCCAAGGGTTGAGACAAAATATGATGGGGGTTTTAAATTAATGAGAAAAGCAAGATTAAACCTGGTCCGTTGATGGTATGGATCGACGGTCAGGATTGAATATGTTTGTTTTGTGAGTGAGTGGGACAGGTGACGTGGCACCGTGCTATTGGCTCACAAGGATTGGGACACTTGGATGGATTGGGTGGGTTCCGGACAGGGTTGGAGGTGATTGGGCTTATGTATTGGGCTGATTTCAATTTAACACATAGCCTATTTGTATTTAAGTGTGCAATTGCAATTATAGCCATTACTCTTTAACCATTTTAAAATTAATTTAATTAAACTTACTTAATTATTATTAAATGTGATAAAAATATAATCATCAAATACTTATAAATTACTGCAATTAATTATTTATTAAAATACCTTATTTCTCAAATTAATTTCAGATTATTTGAAATAGTAGGCTAGTTAATTAAAAGTCAAGGATTAACTTGTTAAATTAATTATAAAACTTGTGTAACAAATTTAAAAGTTACTTTAATAGTCTCAAAAATAGTAAGGGTAATATATTTTACAATTATGTAATACAAAATTATTAATTTCAATACTATTAATTACTAATTTTTTTTATAAAAATATGTATTATTTATTAGAAAATATTTTCAACATATTTATTGTAAACCATTAAGTATAAATAAATTAATTTTAAAAAGGAGGGTTAAAATTGGTTGTCAATAATGATATCTTGATCTCAAATCAATCTTTGAAAACACTCTAGCACCCTGAAGCTGGTCAAATAAGTCATCAATGCACGGTAGTGGGTACATGTTCTTCACTGTAACTTTGTTCAACTGCCTATAATCAATATAGATCTGCATAGTACCATCCTTCTTCTTCACCAATATAATCGGAGCACCCCAAGGTGAAACACTCATCCGGATGAAACTCCTATCAAGCAATTCTTGAAGTCGTTCATTTAACTCCTTCAACTCTATTGGTGCCATACGGTATGGTGCAATAGAAATGGGCTGAGTGCCAAACACCAAGTCAATATCAAAATCGATATCTCTATCGGGCGGCATGCCTTGTTGGTCTACTGGAAACACATCTGGGATGTCTCTCACCACCAAACTTGACTCAACGGTAGGAGTATTAGCACTGATATCCCTCAAGAATGCTAGATACACTTCACACCCTTTTCTTAACCATCCGATGTGCCCTAAGAAAGCACACCACCCTGCTAGGAATGTAATCCAATGTACCCCTCCACTCTAACCGTAGCAAACCTAGCATAGCCAAGGTCACGGTCTTGGCATGACAGTCCAAAATAGCTTTATAGGGCGACAACCAATCCATGTCTAAGATGATATCAAAGTATACCATATTGAGTAGCATTAGATCAACTCTGGACTTATAATCACTAATAGTGACTAAACACGACCGATAAACACGATCCACAATAATAGAATCTCCCACAGACGTGGACACATATACAGGAGCACTCAAAGAATCACGAGATATATCCAAATACGGAGCAAAGTAAGATGACACATATGAATAAGTGGATCCCGGATCAAATAAGACTGATGCATCCCTATGACAGATCGGAACCATACCTATACTGACAATATTCGATGCAACTGCCTCTGTCCTACCAGGAAAAGCATAGAAACGAGCTTGGCCTCCCCCTCTAGGGTGGCCTCTACCTACCTATCCTCCACCCTTAGCTGGTGGTGTAGGTGGAGCGACAACTAGAGCAGTAACCATGGCCTGTGAACCCTATGGACCTTATGGAATCCGTGGAGCCTGTGTAGTTTGTGGAAGTGCACCCCTCCTGAGTCTAGGGAAGTCCCTTACCATATGTCTAGTATCCCTACACTCAAAACAAGGTCTCGGTTGGCTTGGCTGCTAAATCTGACTCTGGCCTAGTTAGCTAGACTGACCACTGAAGGCACCCCGTGCAGGAGGTGCACTGGAAAGTGGTTGAGCATAATGGGCAACCTCAGACCATAGAATAGCCGGAGCGCTGCTAGTAGCTAGAAATGCTGAATAAACTGGGCGGCTCACAAAGCCTCTGTCATGACGTGCTGCAACCGGAGCACGGGCACCACTGTACCCTCCAGAATCTCGACACCTCTTAGCCTCCCTATGCTCCCTCTCCTGGCCCTGCATACTCTCCATCCTCCAGGCGATCTATACAACCTGCTGAAACGGGGTATCTGTCTCCAACTCCCGAGCCATACTGAACCTAAGACCATAACTGAGCCCCTCGATGAATTTGCGGACTCGCTCTTTAGCTGTAGAAACCAAGGCAGGTGTACGTCAGGACAACTCACTGAATCTGATAGCATACTCTGACACTGATATAGTCCCTTGCCACAGCTAATCAAACTCTGTGTACCATACATCCTGAAGGGTATAGGGAACAAACTCTCTAAAGAACATCTCTATAAACTGAACCCAAGTGAGTGGGGCTACATCAGCTGGTCGACCTTCCTCATATACCTACCACCACCTATACGCTGCTCCTGACAGCTGAAAAGTAGTGAAAGCAACTCCTCTCACCTCAACGATACCCATGGTGCTGAGAATACGGTGGCACACATATCCTCTATAGTTGGGCCACTGAAAGTAGGAGGGTCATACTTCTTATATCTCTCAAGTCTCCTCTATTCCTCTTTAGACGCCTCTGGCCTGACCTCAGGCTGAACCGGAATAATGGGTTGTGCTGGCATGACACCCGAAACCTGATCAATGTGGACCCACTGCTCTGGAGTACGAACCGCGGGAGTTTGAGCTCCTCCCCAGCCAGAGATGTAGCTGGTGCTAGGGGAATCAATCCCGCCTGAGCTAGAGTGCCGAACATGCTCAAAAACTGTGCTAGGGTCTCCTAAAGTCCAGGGGTAACAACAGGCGCCTCGGGTGCCTGTCCCCTAACTGGAGCTACTAGTGGCTCCTCGGTCGCTGCTCGGGCAGGTGCTCTGGCTGTAGCATGTGCCCCACCTCGGCCTCTGCCCCGACCCGGCCTCGCACCGGTCTAGCAAGGAGCACGAGTGTCTGATTCTCTGATCCAGCAGTGCGTATCCTCACCATCTTTGAGAGAATAAAAAGACAAAGGCTCAGATTTCGAAATCAACTAATTTGCACGATAAGGAATCAAAGAAGTGGAGTTTTCTAAAAGTTCTATAGCCTCTCGAAGATAAGTACAGACGTCTCAATACCAACCCGCAAGACTCTACTATACTTTCTTATGACTCGTAACACCTATGAACCTAAAGCTCCGATACCAACTTGTCACGATCACAATTTTCCACCTTAGGATATCGTGATGGAACCTAGTCTCTAAAACTAGGTAAGCCTAATATTCATTGATAGCTTTTAAAGATGTTGCACTGTATTTGCAACAGCACAACAACACAACTACAATTTGCTAGAAACCGGAAATTCCCCTGAATCTACTCTCATGATCTAACATATACAAACAACATGATACAAGGTTTTGACCTAACACTTGCAAATACAAAAATATATATTCTCTAAGTGTGCAGCCGTCTCGGTTTCCTTAGATGCATTGAAGAATAAAACTGCTACAAAATAAAGGATCAGATCCCATCATTGAATATGTCTTGAGTCCTTTAGTTTGTTGTGTCTTTGTCTTTTGTTATTTACTTGTATTCCTATACAACTTTTTAGAAGCATTTAGTAGAACATCATTTAACCATTAATGCTTTTGGTTGTTTGACTAGAGTTAGTCAAGAGTGTGGCTTTGTAATAGAGTTATTATAAAGAGCTTACAATAGAGTATTGTAAGAGGTGAGTGATTAAGAGTTTAATTCCTAGATTGCAATAGGTTATAATATAAAGTTTTATTCCCGTGAGCAGGGATACGTAAATATTGTGTGTTCTTTATTTACTATTGTTTATTATGAGAACTGATAAAGAATTCTCTATACTGTTTTGTGAACCCTTAGTTTATATCCGTTACCTTTACCTTAAGTCCTTTAACTCGTCAAGGTGTATCAAACAAATATACTGAGCAACACTGACGGTATTCTGCCTAGGATAAATATTAAAGTCCATAGAACCTTTTGATTCCAAAGCTACTTTATTAGATTGTACCATATTATAGAATTTTCCCAAATGATATTTATTTACTCGCTGAAAGTTAATTAGTGACTTTTCAAGAATCTCTCTAGCTAATTCTCTAGCTAAACGAGTGGAAAATTATATTACCTTTGGGATTATAATCATTGGAGATTAGCCACATAATTTAGCACATAATTACTACTGTAATATATGGTTTATATACTTTACTACTTCAATGATATTATTTTAAGGAAATTTACTTTAGTAGCAAAGCTTCACTTTACATACTATATAGTCTTACTAGCCTAGCATATGTTGGGGCCAAATCCCACGAAACCATTTGCCCCATCAATAGAAATTTGGATGCCTTCTTGCTGGATATTCCCAATAATGGAAAGTCTCGTAGGAGATGGAGCGAACGCAAAGCAGAATGTGCCCCTTTCGTCCACTGGAATCAGAAAGTTCCTAGCTGGGAGGGTTAAAATTGGACCACCCATGAGGAAAAACGAAACGGTTGGTACCCGAACCGTCACAAACTCGTTTAGATCGTAGCATGTGTCGAATATTGACATGGCAGGTGCCCGTGGAAGGCTAGCGGTTTGGGCAATGAATGCATTACGGAACGCCTCGTAGACCGCTGTCGGAAGCCTTGTCACGGCTGTCCCTGTGTCCATGACCACTCCACCATCTCCTACCTCAGTCAACCTGAAAACATCTTCAGATATTGCTACACGTGCTCCTCCAACTCCAAGACCCGACAAGCCAATATAATAGAAACTAGGGGCCTGTGGGTTTCGGATCAATGGTACCCATGCTGCACCCATGGGTAGTATTTCACGCCCGAATTCAAGTGATCCGGTTGATCCAGTGCCCCGACTAACCAAACAGTAACTAAATGCACCGCCCGTTTGTCCACCGAGTTGTCCCATGAGTGACATGGACCCACCTCCAAGACCTAACAAACCAGCAGCCCCAATAAACATTCCACCGTTACTGTGACCGCAACCAATTGCCACGTCCCGAACCACGGTGCGACCAAAAGTGAGCGTCTCAAGGGCCACGGTTCCCTTGGTGTACGACCCGTCACCATACATGACTTCATATTTGCAGCGGCCTGCGTGGCAGCCCGAGTTGTCGACCCGTTCACAGAGGGATGAGGTACATGGTACCCCAGAAAAAGAAGCGGAAAGAGACGGGTCAAATACCGGGTCGGACTGGTGGTAGCAGTGGGTACAAGGCTGGCACTGGACCCACACAATATCACTGCCAGCATCAATTACCATGTATTGCTCTCTAACAGGACTGCCCACACCAATCCTCACGAAGTATTCTCCACTTCCTTGCTCCATACCCGAAATCACCTCACTCCCGAATTCCTCCACCTCATAAACATTATTATTATTGCCTCCTGTTATTTTGTGAATGAGTGTATCCACTCTTTTGACGTCTCTTTTAACGCGAGCTTCGAGACGGTGAGGATGATCAGTGAAGTGGGGAAAAGGCAGTTTGTCTCTGTGAAGAAGCTTGAGTTTCCAGTTTCCCTTTTCAAGAAACTCCTCTTCTTCTTCTGCCACACCCTGTGTTTTAGATGGTGGTGGGTGGATTCTTGTAGATTCTTTAATGGTTTGTTTGACATTAAAGTGTTCGTGGATGGGAAATGGGATTGCATGGCCAGCTGAGGTTTTGGTTTCAGTTGCGGTTGTAGTGTTGGGAATGGAGAAAATGAACACTGCAAGGAGCACAATTGCGACTCGTCTTTGTAAGGGAACAAACATTCTTGTTTCTAAGGTTTCTTTCGTGTGTTTGTGAGGAAAAAGGATTCTTGGGCAGGGGGGGATTTATGTACTTTGCGTTTTGACATCTGTACAGAAAAAGGTAATTTAAAAGTGGGGCTAGTTTGGGAAGGGGTTTATGGAGAACAAAGTTTGGCCTATTTTTGGAGTGAGAGTGATGTTAGGTTGGGACGAACGGTTAGCGAGGAAATAATTGAATGATTGGGTTTCTTGTGTTTCTAGTAACCAATGTTTTAAAAAGCGTTTTTGGGCGAGGCTGGGGCGAGGCACGTCCAAAATGTTCCGAGGCGATGACGTGGGACGAAAGTCTTAAAAGACGTACGCCCGAGCGTTTGAGACTCGCTTTTGTCGTGAGACGTAAGTCCTAGAGACTTTTTCAAATTAAAAAAAAAATTTGTTGAATAAGTCCTTCATATAATATCCAAATTCTCAAAAGTCAGCTTGTAATTATTCAAAAGTTTTAAAAAGGAACTGAAATGTATTAAATTAAAAGTCAAGACTTTTTTTATTGATTGAAGCCCTAATTTATGGTGTTTTTCAATTCTTTATCTTGTCCGCTAGTCCGCTAATATTTTCCAAAAGCAATGAATATTCAATTTTTTTTACAAATACAAAGAGAACTCCATTCTCTTTCATAACAGCAAGTTCAAAGTTCAAATTGCACGTTAGTCTTCTTTTTTATTCTCCCATGTACAAAACTTTATTCTTTTCCACTCAAGTTACTTGTGCTTGTAAATAGCGTACAATATATTGTTTTGATTAGTTTTATATGAGGATGGAGCACATATATATATTCACATATTATAGTTTTCTTTAATTTTATGCAATTTTACATGTTTATAAATATTTACTATAATTATATTATTTTATAAAATATTAAAAATTAAATACCTATGGGGCTTACGCCCCATGCCTCGAGGCTTACGCCTCGCTGAGGCATATGTAAAATGCCTTGCCTTACGCCCACGCCTTTTAAAACACTGCTTGGAACCAACTCCCCTTAGTTTCCTAGTCTCTCTATTTCTCCAAGTTCCTACTTGGATTGTAGACACTTGTCATGGTTAAAAATCAAAAGATGAGATTTAATTAAATAAAATAAAGTTCTAACCATGGTTAAAGTCTTTAATCCCTTCGTTTGTTCATTCCAAATAATATCTTTTGCTATCCCAGAATTATAGTTATACATTATTAAGATCCCTTCTCTCTTTTTTATACTACCTCCATTCCAGTGTATATGTGAACCTACTTTATTTTTGGTCCGTTTAAAAAAGAATGACCCCTTTTTAAATTAAGAAATCATTTAGCTTAAACTTTCAATTCTACCCTTAAAGAGAAGCTTTTATAACCACACAAATACTCTGACATGTTTACCATCACAATTTTCAAAAGAATTATAGCCATACAAATATTCTGACTTGTTTAGGACCACAAATTCCAAAAGTTTTCATTTTTTTCTTAAATTCCGTACACAGTCAAACATGTTCACATAAATTGAAACGGAGGGAGTAGTAGTTTTCTTTCAGTGAGTTAATTTTTTTTTTTTCCAATTCTACAAAATCTTCTTACATTCTTATTAAAAATGAGGAATATTAGAAGTAGATTCCAACATTTTAACAATAAAAATTAAAGAACAGTACAAACCTATTTGGAGGCTCCACTTAAGTTGCCATTTCTCTATTATTTTGCATATTTAGAACAGTGAAAAAAGAAGATTCAATCTTCCAATTTTTAGCAACCATTATAATCTATAATTTTAACTCCATCTATATTCCACCACACAACAATTTGAATAAGGCAATTTGTTACGCATCAATAGCTCAGAACACAGAAACAAGGTACAAGAATTGTCGAATCACTGTCAATATCGTCTTCTGGTCTCCTAGGAAAAAAGAAAGAAAAAAACAAGGACAATCACATAGATTTATACAAGGGGAAACTTCAGCTAAAAGAGACAAACAATATTATTTGGGAATGGAAAAAAAAAAGAATTAAATATTGTAATTATGGTTAGGACTTTATTTTATTCAATTAAATCTATCCCTTGATTTTTAACCATGACAATTATCTCTAATCCAAATAGAAACTTGGAGAAATGGATATACTAGAAAATGAATGGGAGCCTTATACATGCTTTTTTTATGGGTGGAGCTCCTCTCCATTTTTCATTATCTCCATTTTCTCAAGTTCTTACTTGAATAGGAGAAATGTGCCATGGTTAAAAACTATAGATTGAGATTTAGTTAACCAAAACAAGGTTCTAACCGTAGTTATGATAACAAAGCATTTCCTTATCAGTCTCTAAACTTCCCTATAATTCCTCTTTTTCCAGATTTTTGAAATTTGAACTTTTGATTATATCACTTCTTTTCTCCTTTTTCGCGCCTGAAAACATTTTATAGTCGAAATATATAGTTTTCATACTTTGAGTTAATCTTTCCTTGATTATTTGCTGTGTTTCATTTTTTTCTTTAATTTGTTCGGTACTTTTCTTTATCCTTTTTAACAATTAATAAGTCAATCTGTCAATTGTATTGGGTAAAATTAGTTTATATTAAATGATCGAATGAGAGCGTGATACGTGGAACCGGAGACATGCAGAAGACAAATCGAGTAAGAACCAATACCGAGAATAACAGCTGCAGTTGGCATCGGATAGACCCCGAAGGGAGCACAATCAACGTGAACGGATTCAATGTTTGCCACCGGATGGCATTCAATGAAAAATATTCCCCAACATTAATGGGCAGCCGTTGCAGAGAATATTTGCATTCATGGCCTGCCATTATATATTCATCAATGGTCCCTTTATTGTCATTTAAGAGGGGCTTGATCCTAGGATCCTGTTTCCCTAGGAAAAACTATAAATAGTAGTTTTAACAGCCATTATAAGGACACGAAATTCTTGGCAAAACTCTACATTCCATTCTCAAGATCAATAAGATAATTTTACTTCTTCTTTCATGTTGTTCTTATTTCTGTCCTCGGAAGCATCGCTCCCGGAGCAAAGCTTTCCATTTTCTTTGATTTTAGCAGTTAGTCTTATTTTTAATCTTATTTATTTATCATTTTTGAATCTAATCAGTTTGCTTGTCTATAAATCACGTAACAAATATAACTGTACCATTTTACGGATAAACTTTGGCGCTCACCGTGGGGCTTAGACAGTTGCGTAATTGGGTTGATCCTTGCATTTATTACTAACTTGTTTGATTCTTTGTTCCTTAGCAAAAACTCAAAAATGACAGCTAACGATGACAACATCCCAAACAACTTTGAGGCGCATGAAAATCTGCCTCAATATGAGGATTCAATCAGTGACACCCGCAACGAGGAGGATGTGGTGACTCCGGTCCATGACGGACAATACCCCCGATATGTACGAAGACAACTTCCGATGATGCGGAAGATGAACACGTTGCAGAAACAATAAGGATCTTGAGAGAGCAACAGAAAGCCATTACGGGCCATCTCTCAAGACAGGACCATATCATGACGAAATTGAAGCAAGCATTATCAGGCGCTTCCAACAACACAAACAGAAGAGGCCCGATTCCTCCCGGTATTCCTGCAAATCAGACAGCTCAAAGAGTTGATTACAACACCCCGAGGGGTGAGGTCGGCTTTGACGGTGCCGGGGGGACCGATAGCAGATCGGGTAATATCAACGGTAATGATCCCTTCAAAACTGAACTTATGAGATTCATGAAGAAGATGAACGAGCGGATGGATCAGAACGTGAAGGAGTTTCACGCCCAAATGGATCAGATTCCGGGCACACCACCAATTTTTGAAGAGACCAGATTCGAAGAAGTACACCTAGTTGTCGATTAAGCCGAGCGCAACACCGGAGTTAATTCCGAAATGATTAAAGATGCTGAACATACCAAAATACGATGGGACTTCGGACCTTCAGGAGCACATCACAACTTATACAACGACGATAAAAGGGAACAATTTGGCTCAAAATGAGATCGAGTCGATCTTGCTGAAAAAGTTTGGAGAAACCCTCACGAAGGGGGCCTTGACGTGGTATTCACTCTTACCCGAGCATCCAATAGATTCTTTTGAAATGCTCGCAGATTCATTCATTAAGGCCCATGCTGGGGCTAGAAAGGTCCAGGCTAGGAAGGCAAATGTATCAGGATTGCACAGGATGAGTCCGAATTGTTGCGTGAGTTCGTGATCAGATTCCAGAAAGAGAGAATGCTACTACTGACCGTGCCAGACGAGTGGGCAGTGGAAGCATTCACAAAGGGTTTGAACCCAAGGAGCTCCGCCGCCGCCCAAAAGTTGAAGGAGAGCTTGCTCGAATTCCTAGCGACCATATGGGCGGATGTTCATAACCGCTATGAGTCGAAGATAAGAATAGAAGATGATCAGCTCGGGTTTCCAACATCAACCAAGGGGCGGGACCAAGACAAGAACCAAGATAAATTCAAAGGCGATTTTGATGCAGAACGGCGATCTTCAAAAGGCCGTTTCTTGCCTTACGAGAGAGCCAAGGGACGCGGCAGCAAAGGGTTCCGGTCCTCGAATAGCTTCGCTCCCGATAGATGAACTGACTGTGGTCGGAACAACAGATCATTACATGAAAAAGAGGTACCGAGGACCCGGGATTCTATATATCCCAGGTTGTCATATTACAATTTCAACATCAGCCTAGTGGAGTTGGTATCGGCGATGAGAAATATCAAAGAAGCATGATTCTCGAAGCCAATAAGATCCAATCCCAGCTAGAGGGATCCTGATTTATGGTACGAATATCATGGGACTCACGGCCACAGAACTGGTGACTGTCAGCATTTGCACGAGGAGGTGGCAATGCTATTGAATAACGACCATCTCAGGGAGTTCTTGAGCGACCGAGGCAAGAACAATTATAGCCGCAACCGAGGTAACACGGAACCCTTAAATATAGGAGAAGACCCTCCTCGGTTGACTATCTATATGATTTTCGGAGGGAATTAAATCAATAGTGTAACCTTTTCGGTGGCCAAGAAGACAAAGGTATCGGTAACCCACAGCAAGAGACTCCGGGAAGTCACCAAAGACGACATCACCTTCACGGAGGAAGATGCCGACGGACTTCTTCTGTCGCATAACGATGCCCTGGTAATCTTGCTTAATGTTCTAGATTTCAAAATTAAGCGTGTTTTGGTTGATCCA